GCACTGACCCTCCGAAGAGCATCCCACCCAGACCCACTCCCCCACCCTATCCCTGTAACACTGCATTTCCCAGGGGTAACCCATTTATTCTGCACATTTTTGTGTCTCTATTTTCCTGTCTGTGGCGCACAGATTTATTAGATTGAGCAATTTTGTGCACTTTCTCTGATTAAGTTGATACCTTTTGACGCTGACTGGGTTTGGAGAACTGCAAGCTCTTGTGCCTGTCCTGTGTCACAGTCTTGATATCGCTGGATTTAAGTTAGTGACGCTGGTAGTGAGCCCCCATCAGCCTGGGATGGCAGGAACTGTGTCCGAGTTTTGTGTCACCGTGTCCGTGTATCAGGAAGACAGAAATCAGCAGCATTGGGCTATGTGTCCTACTGAGTTCTGCTGTATGTCCACCAATGTTTCAACCTGCCAGTCACACTCAGACTTGAAAATTCTAACTGAATTTCAAAGTTTTGGGGCAAATGATGTATTGTTTATATTTAACCATTGGGGTAACAGGCACTTTCTGACTTCACTCGGGACTGGTCAGTGTTCCAACTCATCCATTGTGTTGGGTTTGTCTCTGACCCATTTTCAGCCTGGTTACTGTTGGAGTTGGTTTGTGCTTTCCCTGCCCTTGTACCTGTGGAGATGTTTATGTTTTTGATCACAACTTTGATTCCTGGTGGCAAATGTTCCATGTTTAGTGTAAACGGCTCAGCATTAGAGGGTAGTTATTTTCCAAAAACGTTACGCTATAATTGGATAATAGATGGAAGAATGAATAATATACTCCTTCACAGCTGTGTGTGCTTCACTGGCAAGACACTTCATAGTGACTTAAGTCAAATGAATTTCTTTCGTTAGGATTCTAAGACTGTTTCTGTTGTGTTGGGAATTGAGTTCTGTCTTGTGGATCTCTCTAGCAGCTGCCACTCTACCTGGCCATTCTTAATCACTTTACTGTTAGCAGACATGGCTTTAACCTCCTGAGCCCTAAGCTCTGGAATTCCATTCCTAAGACCTTCTCCTTTTAAAAACCGAAAGAACTGCAGATGCTGTAAATCAGAAACTAAAACAGAAATTGCTGGTAAAGCTCAGCAAATCTGGCAGCATCTGCGGAGAGAAGTGAGAGTTAACTTTTTGGGTCGAGTGACCCTTCCTCAGAACACCACCTCCTTTTAAGGTGCTCCTTTCAACTGGCCTCTTTCAGCATGCTCTCCTGTTTATATTGTTAGCTGCCTTATACTCATGTGAAACACTCAAAGGTGCTGTCTTACACTGAAGGTGCTATGCTACTTCACATCACTGTTGTTGAGTCAGATCACTCATGAACCATCCCCACAGCCAGACTGTCATTCACCTGCATACCCACAGATGCACACGTTTAGATCGTTGCTTGCTGATCACTAGTTCAGTTTAAAAAAAACTGAGAAAAAGCAGATTGACAAGAAGAAGAAATATCAAATGTCATTTTTATGTACCTACACAAACGCACTTTGAAACATTGTTGGCTTTACAAATAGTAAAACTGGCAAACACCAAGGGAAGGTTCCGAGTCAGAATGTTACAGGTGAGGAGAATATGACGTACAGAGGAAAAACAAGCTGCAGACTGAAGGTAGCTGTAAATGTCAGAACCTGGAACCCGGCGGAATGTTTCCTTGCTCAATTGCTGCTCCAGGGAGCTTCGTGATTAAAGTTTTATACAGTGGCAGTCTGGGATTTATTTTTTCATATGTTTCTATGAAGAAACCTGCAAGAACTAATCTTCTTTTCTTTCATTTTGGAGATTTTTATTTTATACCAAGTTTAAAAATTGCAGCTGAAATTTTTAATTTGAAAAACACCTGTCCTACTTACATAGTTACAGAACAGTTCCAGCTTTTGAAATGGTGAGTGAATTTACTATTTCTGCTTAAAGCAAGTATAGAATTTCAAAGGGAATGTCTCTTAGTAAAATATTAACTCCAGCTTGTAACAATTGTAGAAAGTTAAAGCACTGTTTATGGCAACATCTTCAAACATGACTGCATGGAGGTAGAATTAACATTGAGTACTCTCCAATATCCTAACTATTTACACAGAATCATGCAGCATGGAAACAGACCCTTCAGTCCAACTCATCCATGCCGTCGAGATATCCTAAATTAATCTAGTCTCATTTGCCAACATTTAGCCCATATCCCTGTAAACCTTTCCTATTCAAGTACCCATCCAGATGCCTTTTAAATGTTGTAACTGTACCAGCCTCCACAACATCCTCTGGCAGCTCATTCCATACACACACCACCTTCTGTGAAAAAGTTGCCCCTTAGATCCCTTTTAAATCTTTCCTCTCTCACCTTAAACCTGTCCGCTCTAGTTCTGGTCTCCCCTACCCTGGGTAAAAGACCTTGACTATTCACCCAATCCATGCCCCTTTATAAGGTCACCTCTCAGTCTTTGATACTCCAGGGTAAATAGTCCCAGCCTATTCAGCCTCTCCCTATAGCTCAAACCCTCCAACCCTGGCAACATCCTTGTAAATCTTTTCTGAACCCTTTCAAGTTTCACAACATCCTTCCTATAGCAGGGAGACCAGAATTGCACGCAGTATTTGAAAAGTAGCCTACCCAATGTCCTGTACAGCTGCTACATGACCTCCCAACTCCTATACACAATGCACTGACCAATAAAGGCAACCATACCAAACACCACCTTCATTCCCTGTCTACCTGCGACTCCAATTTCAAGGAACTATGAACCTGAATCCCAAGGTCACTTTCCGTTACCCCACCTATTTTGGTGTCATCTGCAAACTTACTAACCATCTCTCCTATATTCACATTCAGATCATTTATGTAAATGACCAAAAGCAGTGGACCCAGCACCAATTCTTGCGGTACGCCGCTGGTCACAGACCTCCAGTCCGAATGTTGAAATGTTTTGTAATTTAAGAAAAGACTGAATCTGTTTTGCTGGACTATTGCTGTATAAGATCAGCAGCTACTTCAAAGATTGAATACTCCTGTGTGCTCTTAATTCAAAGTTGCTTAATTCAAATGAGCTGGTTTCTTTTTTTAAATACTAAATTCCCACTTCATATTAATTGTGTTGCTTAATTCAATCTTTCTCCAAAAATTACAGTACCAGAAATAGATTCTATAAAAATTCAAATACAATAAGTGGTTAATCAGCTCCTCTGTATGGCTGGATAATTAAATGTTTTGCATCTAGTTCATTTTCATATAGATAAAAACTAAGTGAAATTATTGGTGGTCACAAAACATTGAGACATTTGCAAACAAAATACCATGGTCAAAAGAGCTGCATTTTCTTCAAAGTAAATCACTCCTGAACCCCACCTCCCCCACCAAGTGTTAATATTAGCTGCAGATGCTAAACTGGTGATTTTTGTCACAAGGAGGGGAACTTGCAGGTGCAGGGGGTGGTGTTCCTCTGTATCTGCTGTCCTTGTCCTTTTAGAGGGCAGAGGTAATGGTAATGGGAATGGGCTTGGAATGTGCTGTCTAAGGAGCCCTGTAGATAATACACACTGCTGCTACTGAGTGTCATTGGTGGGAAAGAGTGGATGTGGCATCAATCAAGCAGACTACTCTATCCTGGAAGGTGTCGAACTTCTTGAGTGTTGTTGGGGCTGTACGCATCCAGGCAAGCGGGGAGTATTCCATCACATTCCTGACTTGTGCCTTATAGTTGCTTCTGTGCATCAATTTCAGTATAGAAAGGTACCCAGGTGAAGAAATTGAGCTAAACTGACGGTAAACAATAAAATGTTGCGCCTGGACAGACACCAGGTACAAAGCATTCACCAATAAAACTACCATCACTGATTTGTATTGCAAGACTTCCCAAACAAAGTAACCCTTGGTTTGTGTAATTGCCAGGAATGACTCGGTAGGTAGCAACCTCTGGTGAGAGAAATCACCTCCTGACAGTGCGGCACTCGCTCACTAATGCACTGGAGTGTTTGCCTGGATTAGTGTACTCAAGCACCGGTGTGTCTCTGAACCCGGACCTGAGCTGATGGGACATCTCTCCTGGCTGCAGCTGGACTGTCAGGAATGACCATCAATCTGCTCATGATCTCTTCCCGTTGAGTAGACGTTGCAGTAAAGTGGAACCACCAGAAATTACATGATTGACAATCTGGCTTTCTTCTTTGTATGTCAGCTCAGACAGTACATTTTTTTAAAGTCAGCTTGATATTGTCAGGCTTGTGCCACTGTTTTCAAATATGTTTCTTCTGGAAAGAGCAAATGTAAAATCTGTTGATCTGAATCACTGAACCCCTTGTAAAACGTATTGATCGTTTCTCTTCCCATTGGAAGAAAAAGGTGCCTTCATTTATGTAGCACAGTGTGGAGCTGGAGGAACACAGCAGGCCAGGTAGCATCAGAGGAGCAGGAAAGCTGATGTTTCCGGTCGAGACCCTTCTTCTGCTATCTCTGCATTTATGTAGCACTTTTCTTGGCATCAGAACACCCCAAGGAGATTCACAATCAGTGGAGTACATTTTGCGGTGTAGTCACTCTTGCAATGTTGGAAATGCAGCCACCAGTTTGTACAAAGCAAGTTCCTATACCTATGAAATAAAGGCCGTTGTTATTGGCCAGGACGTTGAAGACAACTACCTTGTCCTTTGGAAGTGTAGAGGCTGGATGGAATCTTGAGTTGGCATCATCTCTGAAAGTTGTCACCTCCACTGTGGCATCGAGGGAGTGCTGCACTGTTGGGAGTGTCCGCTCAGACTTAATGGCCAAATCTCTGTGAGCGAGTAGGTCTTGAACCCACAACTTTCTGACTCAAAGTTTCAACTGACATGAAATCCCACAGGAGGTTGCTTCAAAAACTTTGTTTCCATTTCATTCTGCAGATGTTTAGTAAACAGTGCTTCAAACATAACGGAGAAAGTAGAGAGTGATTGCTGTCTGATCCCTGTACGTCTGACTGATCTGCAGGTTGGTGTGACACATGGTGATATCATATTCCCCTTTCTCCCCACAGCCGTTCCCTTCCCTCCCAGCCACCGGTTGACGGTTAAAGAGGTCTTTGACCACGATGGGAAGCCACGTGTGGATGTGCTTAAGGCTCATCTTACTAAAGAGGGCCGTGTGGAGGAGGCTGCAGCAATGCGGATTATAACAGAAGGGGCATCCATTCTCCATCAAGAGAAGACAATGCTGGACATTGAAGCTCCAGTCACCGGTGAGTTGTGGGGAGAGCAGGACACTGCCTGATTTGGATGGTTGGGTGATGTGAATACACCACATTATACTCACTGTTAATTGCTGCTTTTAACTGCACTATTTCTGCAACTGGGTTGTCAATCCTGTCCTGTTCTGAAGACTCTGTGGACTGCCCAACCTGTAATCTTGATCATTGTGAACAGTTTATGGGATGATGCTGTGCTTTTGAGTTTCAGATCGTGTGGTTTTCCTTTTGGTGTTGGATGCTTTACAGAAGGTAAGGTCACTATAGTCTTACCGAACCATTGCAGAGAGGTGACTAATGTTGGTTTAACCTGAGGGTCACCATGCCTCAGGCGAGGGGGAAGCGAGTGAGAAGGAGAATCCTTCACGGTAACCTCAGCCAGTGTAGGAATTGAACCCACACTGCTAGCGTCAAACCAACCATCCAGCCAACTGAGCTAACCAACACGCAGTTGTTGCAGATAAATTGGCAACTTGTTAGAGATAAAGATCGTGCATTCCCATAGCACCTGCCATGCCTCTGGATTCCCTAAGATCTTCTTGAAGTCTGGTCCTTTTTGGAAATGTCGGATACATGGCAGCCAACCTCTGCATAGTAAGATCCCACACTTTGATGTTTGCTAGTGATCAGGTAACCTGCTTGAAGAATGCTAGTTAGTGGTTGAACATTGGCTCGAGCACAGGGTAGAACTCTACTTTTTTTTAAATAACACCATGGGATTGTTTTCATCCATTATAAAGGGCAGTGGTTTAATATTGCATTAAAGACAGTCTCTTATACAGAGCAGTACTCTCTCAGCACTCTCTTCCTGACACTGAACTGTGAATTGAAGACTCGGGACTAGTTCCCACATGGTTCTGACTCCACTGCCAGAGAGTGAGCCTCAGCATAACTCCATTCTGATGGTGTCCCTTATACAAACTGGGAGCAGGCCATTCAGCCCCTCGATCCTGCTCCGTGTAGATTTTAATATGTGAGACTGCAGCAGTATATCCATTTTGTAGTTGGTGTTAAGCACTGAGGAATTGGATTCCTCGGGCCTGGAACAGTGTTGGGCCCCTCCCCCCTCAGAAATGGCAGAATTGGAGTGTGAGCTAATGATCTATTGAGCAATAAAACCAGAAAAATGCAGTACAGTTCTGGTTGCCCTGCTGTAGGAAGGACGTTATTAAATTGGAGAGTGTTCAGAAGAGATTTACCAGGATGTTGCCCGGAATGGAGGTTTTGAGTTACAAGGAGAGGCTGGGACTTTTTTCAATGGAGCGTAGGAGGTTGAGGGGTAACCTTTATAGAGGTTTATAAAATCATAGTTAAGGTGAATAACAAAGGTCTCTTTCCCAGGTTGGGAGAATTCAAAACTAGGGTGTGTAATTTTAAGGTGAGAGGAGAAAGATTTAAAAAGGACACGGGCAACCTTATCACACAGAAGGTGTTGTGTATGTGGAATGAACTGCCAGAGGAAGTGTTAGATGCAGGTACATTTTAAAAGACATTTGGACAGGTGTATGAATAGGAAAAGTTTAGAGGGATTGGACCAAATGCAGGCAAATGGTTCTAGTTTAGGAAACTTGCACAGCATGGACGAGTTGGACCCAAGGATCTGTTTCCGAGTTGTATGACTCTAATGATAATCGGAGTTTCAGGTCTGTGATCTTTTTAATCAAAATAAGAGAGATTAGCCCGACTTCTCCGTTAGACTGCTGAGTAGTTCCAGAATGATCTGCTTTTGTTTCACTTCTGCATCTATGGTGGCTTTGCTTTTGATCATCTTCATTTTGTCAATTCCAGTTTCACAATAATTACAATGAGTCTCCCAAGATTCCAACCACAACTGGTCTTTGTGATTCTCTGAGCAAGTGGGGAACAAGTCTTGGAGCAGAGTGAATGCCAGACCCTCCTTTTATAAAAAGTGGAAGCTGTATTTATTGATCTCAATGCTTAAATGAGAGGTTATTTTTGATTTGTACAAATACTGTTAATTTAGCATTGGTATTGGATGGCTGAGTTGCTGAGAAAGTGCCTGGCTGATGGCAAAGGAACAGCAAACAGATCTATGAAACTCGCAACAGTTTTGTCAATTAACAGCAACAGTTGTTGGTACAACAATAACTTGCAAATTAATGCAGTACCTTTGAACATAGTAAAATGTTTAAACGAATCAAACAAATTTTTAATCTAAGCCACGTAAATATTGGGACAGCTGCGTGTTTTAAAGAAAGAGATAGGAATAGAAAAGTTTGAGAAGGGATTTCCAGAATTTAGGATTTAGGAAGCTGAAGGCATGGACACCATTGGTGAAGTGATAAATATTAGGGATTTGTGCAAGAGACTAGAGATCTTGGAAAGTCGTCGGACTGGAGGAGATTGGGATGGGGGGAGTGGTGTGTGCCGGTCAGACCATCAGTGATTTGGAAACTAGGAAGAAAATGTTGAAATCAAGATGATCTCTGATCTGGCGTCAGTGTAGAGTTGGTGTTTCATAGTGGAGGTTGTAGTTTGTTTAACGTGGTCTCTCTTGGTGTGTAGTTGTTGTCTGGGATAAACCTGTACTGAGTCATTAGTGTCTGTTGTTCCTGTTTGGGGTATTAAGGATAGTGTTAATTGAGGAGTAGGTATTCTAGTCACAACTGTCCAGCTATCCAGTTATGAGCAAGCTTGATGAGCCAGTTGGCCGGTCCTGTCTTGCCAATTGCTTTTCTTTTCAATTCTGAAAATGATCAGGCCCCACAGTGTCCTGTAGGATGTAGAGTCACTGAGGATGGTGTGGAAAAGGTTCACAGGGACAGTACCGAAACCTTGGAGAGAGACTGAAGATGCAGGAGTTCTTTTCTCTCAAGTAGAAGTCAAGACATAACCTGGGACAGGTTTTTAAGATTTGGAAAGGCTAGTTTTAGGGTAGATTTTTCCAGATCCTCTAGAGGCCAGAAAACTAGGAGCCTTAAACCTAACACAGTTGCCGATTAATCCAGTGATGAATCCAATAGAAACATCTTTACCCAGAGAATGTGGCACATGCTCACACAGGGAATGTTTGAGGTAAATATAAATAAATATTGGTTAAACACAGGAGAGAGAAAGGAACAACCGGTTGTGTCTATAGGGTGGGAAGAGACGATGGAGCATTTGGACCAGTTGGGCCAAGTGGCCTGTGAGTGTGTTATAAGTTCTATGTAACGTAACTACCTGTGGTTGTGAGTTATTTTGCAGGAATACACAGTGACTGGTGAAGCAATAGAGCTGCAGTTATTGCATTACTGCTCACTACTGTCCTAGAAATGATTTAAGGTGAGCAGTACATCTCCATTCTAGCATATGAGGTTCAGGTGATGTCTTGATTGTGTTAAGATGCCAAACAGCATGAAGCATTGAATGCAGATGATGACAGGATTGCTTTGAGTATCCTGTTGAAAGGAAGCTGATTAATTAGATATTTCACGACTAATGTGAGACCAATGAATCTGAGTTTAAGCTCTCTGTGGGCAGTACATGTGCAGTGGTGTGATTCATACACTCAGAACTCTGAGCAGCTTCCTTGTGCTGGCTCTTTGAAAGAATTCTCCACTTGGCCTTTCCCATGATTTTTGTTTCCTTTACTTATTCATGGGTTGAGGGCATCGCTGGCTAGGCCATCACTTATTGCCCAGAGGGCAGTTAAGACTCATCCACATTGCTGTGGGCCTGGAGCCACATGTAGGCCAAACCAGGTAAAGATGGCAGTTTCCCTCCCTAAAGGGCATTAGTGAACCAGATGGGTTTTTCCTGACAATTGACAACGGATTCATGGATATCATTAGACTCTTAACTCCAGATATTTTTATTGAATTCAAATTCCACCATCAGCGTGATAATATTCAAACCCACGTCCCCAGAAAATTACTGGGGTCTCTGGATTAGCAGTCCAGACATAATACCACTAGGCCATTGCCTGCCCCGATCATCCAAAATTTTCCTTTCCAAATATCTCTTCCGTTCCCTTTTGCTGTTCCTTTTCCTTCCAGTACCCTTTCAGACAGTCCATCCCAGATCATAACTTCCTGCATGAAAAGCAACATTCTCATCTTCCCTCAGGATTTTTGTTAACAGTATGAGATTTCAGTCCTCTGGATACTGACCATCTTGTTAGTGGAAATAGTTTCTCCCTGTTTATTCTATGCAGCCTCTGCTGGTTCTGGGCAGTTTCTATGAAATCTCTCCTTAACCTTCTCTGCTGTAAAGGAAAACAAACCCAGCTTCTTCAGTCTGTCTACATTCACTGAAGTCCCTCATTCCTTGCACTGTTCTGGTCAATTTCCTCCGCATCCTCCACATGTTTGGGTAAATATGGGGTTATTAAAGGTGCAGTATAATTTGGATAAATGTGAGATTATTCACTTTGGAAGCAAAAACAAGAAGGCTGATCACTACCTGAATGGCTGTAAATTGGGAGAGGGGAGGTGCAGTGGGACCTGGGAGTCCTTGTGTGTCAGTCACTGAAGGTAAGCATGCAGGTGCAGCAGGTGGTAAAGAAGGTAAATGGTATGTTGGCCTTCATTGCGAGAGGTTTCGAGTACAGGAGCAAGGATGTGTTGTTGCAGTTATACAGGGCCTTGGTGAGGCCACACCTAGAATATTGTGTGCAGTTTTGGTCTCCTTTTCTGAGGAAGGATGCTCTTGCTCTCGAGGGAATGCAGCGAAGGTTTACCAGGCTGATTCCGGGGATGGTGGGACTGATGTATGAGGAGAGATTGACTAGGTTGGGATTATTTTTGCTGGAGTTCAGATGAATGAGGGGGATCTCATAGAGACTTGTAAAATTTAGACAAGGTTTGTGCTGGTTCACTTGAGGCTTTTGAGAGGGTATTGAATGATTGCTTTAATTTAAATAATGCCCAAGTATTTGTGGAAAAGGAAGAATGGCACCAGGTAGTAGAACCACTGCAGTCATGATAGGCCTAATGGCCTCCTTCCACACTAATAATTCTGTGAGCCTGTGTATTTCATTTTCTTTGAGTTTA